CGTACTTCTTGCAGCACAGCGAACGATTTACAGGGCCCCAAGCTGTCGCCATGCTGCATGCAATTGCTGCACTCAGAAAGCGGTGCCAGCTAAGTATGCTGCTGCTGTTGCTGCTGCTGCTGCTGTTGTTGCTGCTGCTGTACATGCTGCAATTCCTGCTACCCGTGCTGCTGTTGCTGTTGCTGCAGCCCCTGCTGCTGCTGCTGTTGCCCCCACTGGTTCTGCTGCTGCTGCTATTTTTATTGCTGGCTACACGCATTGAGTGTCTCCTTGCTGCAGCGGTAGAGGGGCTGGAGCCTGTGGTGCAGCAGCTTGCTGCTGCTGCTGCTGATTTGGGGCCCTCGCAGCAAGTGCTGCTGCTGCATGCAGCAGCAAAGGTACGCGTTGCTGCTGCTTGTTTTGTCTCTCTAGTTGCTGCTGCTCTCTGCACACCTCCCCCTATTTCAGGAGCAACAACAGCAGCAGCAATACCAGTAGCACCACTAGCAGCAGCAGCATCAGCAGCAGCAGCAGCAGCAGCAGGAGACCGTGGCAGTGCATGCATGCATTTGTTTAGTTTCGTGCTTCTTTGTGTCTGCTTGTCTCCTTTTGCTGCTGCACTGCTGCTGCAGCTGGGGTTTGCTTCTCCGTCTGTCCTAAGCTGCCTGGGGGCTGCCATAGAGCAGGGCCCGCTGCTGCATGCAGGAGCAGCAGCAGCAGCAGCAGCAGAAGCAACAGCAGCAGTAACAGACGAAGCAGCAGAAGAAGCAGAGACAGAGACCTGCGCCCGGCTCGCCGACGAGCAGCTGCAGCAGCAACAGCAGCAACAGCAGCAGCTAAAACAACAACGGCAGCAGCAGCAGCAGCAGCAGCAGCGCGCAGTATCGCAGCAGCAGAAGCAGTGGGAGCAGCAGCAAAAGATGCTTATCATGCTGCTGCACGGCTTTGCTGCTGCAGAGAGACGCCATCGTCTCTGTGACCGCATATTTGACTGTCTCCTTAATCCCCCCAACCTCCCTGCAGCAGCTGACCTAAGCAGCAGCAGCAGCAGCAACAGCAACAGCTCTTCGCACTGTCTGCTTGCTGCTCCTGCTGCTGGGGGAGCTGCTGCACAAGGCCCCGTGCTGCCGCATGCAGTTGCTGCTCTGGTGTCTCTATCGCTTGTTCGCCTTAAAGCATTTGATAGAAAAGATGTCATCAGGGCCCTAATAGGTACATGTGCTGCTGCTGCTGCTGCTGTTGCGGCTACTTTTGCTGCTCTTGCTGGTGCTGCTGCTGTTGCTGTTGCTGTTGCTACTGCTGCCTCGGGTGGTGGGGTTGATGGTGCTGTTGTGGTTGTTGCAGCTTCAGCTGCTGCTGCTGTCATTGTTATTGGGATGGCTGTGCTGCTGCTACTGCTGCTGCTGTTGCTGCTTCTGCTGCTGCTGCTGCTGCTGCTACTGCTGCTGAGGGGCATGAACACCATACACAGGACAGAAGCGTAGCAGCACGCACCAACACCTGATATCGCCGCAGCACCTCCAGTAACAGCAGCAGCACCGACAGCAGCAGCAGCACCGACAGCAGCAGCAGCACCGACAGCAGCAGCAGCAGCAGCAGCAGCAGCAAGTTGTGGGGTGTTGCATGCAGAGTCTGTGGAGACATCTGATGGGGGCAGTTTTACTCCGCTGCAGATTACCAACCTCCTCTTCGCTTGCGAAAAAATACTCGACTACACTCGTACAGGTCAGCTAATGCTGCTGCTGCTGCTGCTGCTGCTGCTGCTGTTGCTGTTGCTGCTGCTGCTGCTGCCTGTCCTAGTGCTGCTGATGCTGTTGCTGCTGCTGCTGCGTTGTTGCGGTTGCTGCTGGGGCTGCTTCTGTTGTTTCTGTTGCTGTTGCTTCTGGGGCTGCTTCTGCGGCTGCTGCTGTTGCTGCTGCTGTTGCTGCGGGTGCTGCTACGGCTGCTGCGGGAGGAGCAAGGCTTCATGCTGCTGCTGCTGCGGGAGGAGGTATGCTTCATGCTGCTGCTGCTGGAGGGTTAGATGACTCTTTTGTTTGCGTCATTTGCTGTACAGCGGCACTGAAGTTGCAGCAGAAAGCTGCAGCAGCAGAAGGAGAGGAGACAGCTGCAGCAGCAGAGGGAGAGACAGCTGCAGCAGCAGCAGAGACACAAGAGACAGCAGCAGCAGCAGAGACAAACACAACAGAGGAGACTGTTCTGCTGCAGAGAGCAGCAGCGCGGTTGGCTGGGCATGCGACCGTGCACATCAAACACGTGAGCGCTTGCTGCTGTTGCTGCTGCTGCTGTTGCTGCTGCTGTTGTTGCTGCTGCTGCTGTTGCTGTTGCTGCTGTTGCTGTTTGTGTTGGTATAGCTGCTGCAGCAAAGAAGCTGTCTCTGCTGGGGGCTCTGTGTGTCTCTCTGGGGCCGGGCAGGCAGCCTAAACCCTAAACCCTAAACCCTAAACCCTAATAATATCTGCGGTGTATGTGCAGCTGTCGCCTCAACTGCTGGGGAGTGCTGCGCTTTCTGTAGCAAGGACCGCTCTCCCAGGGCGTCGAAGAGAAGAACTGCTGGAGGCAGCAGCAATAGAGGGTTTGCCTTGCTGCTGCTGTTGCTGCTGCTGCTGCTGCTTCTCCTGCTGCTGCTTGTGCCGCGGCTGCTGCTGCTGCTACCCCATGTGTACTGGGAGCAGCAGCTGCTGCTGCTGCTCCTTTGTCTAGCTACTGCTGCTGTTGCTGCTGCTGCTGATGCTGCTGTTGCTGTTGCTGCTGCAGCTGGCTCTAAGGGTGTTTTTGCTGCTGTTGTTGCTTGTCCTTCTCTGCTGCAGTGCCGCTGCTGTCTCTTCAAGGCAGCGCTGGTTTGCATGCAGCAACATCCCTTCTTGCTGCACTTGTAGAGAGAGGAAGATTACCAGCAGCAGCAGCAGCAGCAGCAGCAGCAGCAGGGGGGCCCCAATGGGTTGTTGGTGTTTCTGCTAAAGGGCAGCAGGCTGTCGAGCTGCTGCTGCTGCACTGTGCTGCTGCAGCACACAAGATGGAGGCCTCTCTCTTCTTGCGATTTGCAGTAAGCAGGAAGGGTTTAAGGCTTAGGGTTTAGGGTTTAGGGTTTAGGGTTTAGAGTTTAGGGTTGTGAGGTTTCTCTCTAAGAATCGCCTGCTGTCTCCTGCATGTCTTTGCTCCAATTTGCTGCAGACAGCCACTGCAGATATTGCTGCTGCACGCAGCAGCAGCCGCAGCAGCAGCAGCAGCAGCAGCAGGAGCTCTTCCAGCAGTTTAGGGGTATCTGCGGAGAGAGTGTATGAAGTCGCTGGTGCGACTTCTGCTGCTGCTGATGCTGCTGTTGCTGCAGCATCAGCAGCAGCAACAGCAGCAATTGAACGCACTGTCTTCTCTCGTCTCGCACGTCTTGATGTCTCCTTTCTGTTTGCCTTTGCAAACGCTGTAGCAGCTCCTCGCTTCCCTGCTGCTGCTGCTGCTGCTGCTGGGGAACAGCAGCAGCAGCAACAGCAGCAACAGGAGGGGGAGATGCAGCGCATCTTTGAAGAACAGCTGCAGCGGTTCTTGCCGCTGTCTCTGCTGCAGAAGGAGACAGTTGCTGAGGTGTACAGACACACTATCCCTAGGCATGCATGTGAAGACCCTGTCTTTCTGCTGCAGCACTGGAGGGGCTGCGCTGCAGCCTTGACAGCAAAACTACACAATCCGCAGCAGCAGCAGCAGCAGGGAGCGACGCGTATATCAGGAGCAGCAGCAGCAGCAACAGCAGCAGCACCTGGAAGTGCTGCTGATCTCCTTGTGAGGGAGCTGCAGCTTAGAGACACTGCGAAAATTCTGCAAGCGCCAGCTGCCTACGCCCGGCAGCTCATAGCGTAAGTCCTGCAGCAGCAGAGCTGCAGCAGCAGAGCTGCAGCAGCAAAACTGCAGCAGCAGAACTGCAGCAGCAGAACTGCAGCAGCAGAACTGCAGCAGCAGGGCTGCAGCAACACACCTGCAGCAGCAGGGCTGCAGCAGCAGAAGTGCAGCCGCTACTGATAGTGTTGCAGCTCCTTCTCTGCAGCTCTGTTTTGGTTTCCGCATAGTGCTGTTGTTGTTGTTGTTGCTGCTGCCTCTGCTGCTGCTGCTGCTGCAAGTAAAGAGATGAATGTGTTGGGGTGCTGCTGCGCAGGTTCGCTGAGCTGGCGCTGCCTGAGGGCTTTTCGTCTTGGTCTCCCCTTCAGCAGCAGCAGCACCATCACCACAGCAGTAGCAGCAGCAACAGCAGCAACAGCAGCGTCAGCAGCAGCAGCAGCAGCAGCAGCAGCGTGCTTGAAGCGGGGCCTGAGCAGGTGCTGCGCGCGCTGCTGACCCCTCTCCGCGACAACCCTAAACTCTTCCCACCTTCTGTTTGTGCTGCTGCTGCTCGTGTTGCTGCAGAGACAGGTAGGCAAGAGGCTGCTGCTGCTGCTGCTGCTGTGATTGCGGCTGCTGCTGCTGCTGCCGTTGCTGTTGCTGCTGCTTCTGCTGCTGCTTGTATTTGCTGTTGCTAACCTCGCCTCTGCTTCTGTTCCTCTCTGCCTTTCAACTTGCTGCAGCAGCACTGCTGCAACAACACTGCTGCAGCAGCTGTAGATGCAGCTGCAGCTCCCTCATGCTGATGCTGATGCTGATGCTGCTGCTGCTGCTGCTGCTGCTGCTTTTGCTGCTCAGGTGTGGGGGACCCTTTGCTGCTGGAGAGGGTTCTGCGACGGCTGGCTGAAGCAGATGACCTTCCTGCTGCTGGTGCCAGCAGCAGCAGCAGCAGCAGGGGCGGAGGGAAGCACCTTCTGCCTGCAGCAGCTTTCATTGATTTGCTGCGGGCTGCTGCTGCTGCTGCTGTTATAACGCGACCTGCGCGTGCAGCCCTAGAGGCGCTGGCAGAGCAGCAAAAAGAATCGCTGCTGCAGCACGTAAGGAGGCTTTCCTCTTCTTCATTCTGCTGCTGTTGTTGTTGTTGCTGCTGCTGCTGCTGTACTTGTTCACCTCCCACCTTGTCGATGCTGCAGCAGCAGGCACTTCTGCTGTGTCAGGGGCGGCCACCGCTGCTGCAGCAGCAGCTGCTGCAACAGGTGCTGGAAAGGCCTTTGCTGCTGCTGCAGCTGTCTTCTGCTGCTGCTGCTGCGCGTTTCTCAGGCCGATCTATCTGCTGCGGCGATTGGTCTTCTACAGCAGCTACAGCTGCTGGAGCTGCCGCTGCTGCTTCGCGTGCTGCAGCAGCAAATATCGCAGGTGCAGCAGCGGCTGCAGCAGCAGATTCAGCGGCTGCAGCATCAGGCCAAGCATCAGCAACAGCAGCAGTGGATCGCATCCACTGCAGCAGACCTGCGGGGCCTCTCCGGGTGTCTCTGCTGCATCTCTAAAGATGCAGCAGCGCAGCAGCAGCTGCGACGGGGGGCAGCAGGATTTGCTGCTGAGGGCGCTGAAGGCGTTTTGCTGCTGGAGGCGCTGCAGTGGACAGCGCAGCTGCTGCCGCTGCTGCAGCAGGCACAAGCCCAACACCTGGTGCAGTTAGAGAGCAGCTCTCAGCAGCAGCAGCAGCAGAAGCAGCAGCAGCAACAGCAGCAGCAGCAGCAGCAGCAGCAGTGCATTAGGGTGATCGCCCCACCTGAGGCGCTCGTGCAGCTGCTGCAGGGGCTCGCCGCTCTGCCGTCTGTCCAGGGTGCTTCTGAAGCAATGCTTGCCACGCTGCTGCTGCTGCAGCAGCAACAGCAACAGCAGCAGCAGCAGCAGCAGCAGCAGAGTTTGTTGTGCGATGCCCTGCGGGCTGCAGCAGAAGCACTAACGAGCAGCAGGGGGGAAGAGCAAGCAGCAAAGAGGGAGGGGTCTCTTAGCTCTCCAGTATTGCTAGCTCGTCTTGCTGCTGCTGCTGCTACTCCTGCTGCTGCTGCTGCTGCTCCTGCTGCTGCTGGGACCGATGGAGCCGCAGCAGCAAACGCACCACGCAGCAGCAACTCTGCTTCGACTGTTATAGAGGAGACTGCAGCAGCAGGAAGCGCGCTGCTGCAGCAGCAGGTGCTGCCGCACTTCATGCTGCTGCAGCAGCGAGACTTAGTCTCCTTAGCTGTATGGTACATGGCATTGCTGCTGCAGTCATCAGCATCACCAGCAGCAGCAGCAGCAGCAGCAGAGCCTGCAGCAGCAGCAGCAGCAGGAAGGGAGCAGCAGCAGCAAGGGATCCTTAGGGTCCTGAGGAGATTGGCGGAGGTCTGTAGGAAGCAAACCCTCGCGAAGGCAGACGCAGTGCAGCTGGCAGTTGTGCTCAGGTAAACCCTAAACCCTAAACCCTAAACCCTAGGTTATTGCTATGTTTGCTACTGAGGTGCGGCTATCTACGCTTAGCTGGAGGGCTGTTGCAGCAGCAGCTGCTGCTGTGCCTGCTGCTGTTGCTGTTTTGTTGCTGGTGCTGTGCTGTTGCTGCTGCTGCTGCCGCTCGTTTTGCTGCTGCTACTGCTATTGTTGATTCTACGTCTCCTGCTGCAGTTTTTGCTGCTGCTGCTGCTGTGCTGCAGCTACTTGCGGCTGGACCTGCCGAATGTGTGGGGTCAGCTGCCAGCGGCAGCGCAGCAGGCGCTGCATTTGCTGCTGCAGCGGGTTGGCCCGGGCTGAAGCAGCAGTAACAGCAGCAGCAGCAGCAGCAGGAAGCCTTTGTTGCTGTTGCAGCAGCAGGAAGCCTTTGTTGCTGCTGCAGCAGCAACAAAGGCGTGGAGGTGCGAAGACACTCTATATTGTCTGTTTAATAGGCAAAGACATAATAAACAAAGCAGCAAGCAGAGTCTCTTAAATATAAACTGAAGACAAAAGGAGACAGACAGAGACAGAGACAGAGACAGAGACAGAGGCAAAGGCAAACAAAACAAAAAGCGTTAATTATAATAAACAAACAAATGCTGCTGCAGTGAGGAGACAGATATATTAAACCTGCACTCTAGAACAATAATAAAAAGAGTAAGAAGATATAGACAGAGACAGAGACAGACAAATAAAAGTAAACAACGAAGGAGACAGCAGCAAAACAAACAGAGACAAATTAAACAGAACCACGGAGACAGCAAAATGAGTATAATAAAACTAATCTCTTCAGTCGGTCTCTCCTCCCTCAATTAAAACAAAACCACTGAGCAGCAGCAGCAGCAGCAGCAAGCGCTGCACGCTGCTGCCCTGTGGCGGCCCCTTAATGAAGGTGCTCTGCGGTTTAGGGTTTAGGGCTTAGGGTTTCAGCAACCCATACGTTCCTGCAGGCAGCGACAGCAGCAGAGGCCTCACATTGGGCCGGCCCTCCGCTCTGCTGCTACTCTTTTGCTGCTGCTGCTGCTGCTACGCTTTTGCTGCTGCTGCTGCTGCTGCTTAGTCTCCTGCCTCGCTGCCTCCTTGAGGGCTGGCTGAAGGAGGAGTATTAAGACAAAACACAGCAGCGTCTGGCGGCAGCAGCAGCTTCTCTTGCTGCTGCTGCTTCTGCTGCTGCTGTTCGCAAACAGCGCGGGTTGTTGCACGTGTTGCTGCTGCTGCTGCTGCTGCTGCTGGGGCGTCTGCGGTATTAGCTGGCAGCCACCACTCGTCCTGCAGCAGCCGCTGCTGCTGCAGCAGTTCGGGAAGCTCCTGCTGCTCCTCCTCCTTTTCTTGCTTCTGCTGCTGCTGCTGCGGCAGCAGGGCAGCAGCAAAGTCTTCCCTCAGCTTAGCAATTGCTGCGGCGTCTTCTGTCTCTTCCGGGTGTCTCTGCTGCTGCAGGTGCAGGCGATCGAGCAGCTCAAGCACCAACGTGTGCAGCAGGGCTGTCTCTTCCTGGTGCTGCTGCTGCTGCTGCTGCTGCTGGTCTGCAGCTGTGTCTGGAGACAGGGGAGCCTCAGCTGCTGCTGCTGCTGCTGCTGTGGAGTTCGTGTTTGTTGCTACTAAATCTGCTTTAAGGGACAACGGCGAGCCCAAGCTGCTTCTGCTGCTGCTGCTGTTGCTGCTGCTGCTGCTGCCTGTGCTGCGGCCTGAGAGACTGGCACACAGAAGGTCCTGTGCCTCACCATCGTCCCCCAGTGCAGCAGCAGCAGCAGCAGCTGCTGCTGCTGCTGCTGCTGTGGGGCCTGCTGCTGCTTCTGCTGCTGCAGGGAAGGCTGCTGGGTTTGCAGCTCTTACTGCAGCCGCAGCTGCTGTTCCAGCAGCTGCTGCTGCTGCTGCTGCAACAGCAGCAGCAGCAACGGATGCAGCACTGGATCCAGTTGCGTTTGCAGCTGTTGCCGCATTGGCTGCAGCAGCAGCAGCAGCTGCTGCTGCACCTGTTACACTGCTGGCATCTGCTGCCGCTGCTGCCGATGTTCCTGCTGCAGTTCCTGTTCCTGCTGCTGCTCCTGCAGCATCAACTACTAACTGCCTGGGCCCTCGAGGTGTCTGTACACCCTCAACCGCTGCAGCAGCAGCAGCAGCAGCCAATGCTGCTGCAGCAGCAGCTGCAGCACAGCCAGGTGATGCTGCTGCAAATCCAGAATTGTCAAGGGCAGGCGCAGCAGCAAACTCGTCTGCTGCTGCAGCAAGGCGTGGCGAAGCTGCTGCAGGTGCTGCAGCAGCAGCCCTAGGAAGAGAATCAGCAGCAGCAGCAGCAGCAGCTGCAGCAGCTGGGCTCACCTCCTCAGGCAGCAGAGCCTTCTGTGCCTTCACTAGGGCTTGCAAAAGGTCTCTATCAGCAGCAAGGGGGGATATCCCAAACTGCTGCTGCTGCTGGAGTTGCTGCTGCTGCTGCTGCTGCTGCTTGTGCTGCTGCTGCTGCTGCTGCTGCTCACGGTGCATGGCATCCCTAACAGCCTTAATTGCCCCCCCAAGAACCTCCAGCCTCTCAGGCTCCAGCAGCAGCTGTTGCTGCTGCTGCTGGTGCTGCTGCAGCAAGTGCTGTTGCTGACGCTCTAGCAAGAAGAGGAGTGCATCTAAACAGCTGGGTTCCTGCTGCTCCTGCTGCTGCTGCTGCTGTTCCTGCTGCTGTTGGTGATGCTGCTGCTTCTGCACAATATGCTCAGCAGACTGTACAGGATGCGATGCCTCGGATACACCTGAGCCTATCGGCAGCAGCAGCGGCTGCTGCTGCTGCTGCTGCAGCTGTTGGCCGTGTTGTCTGTCTGACACCGCTGCAGCAGGAACAGCAGCAGCAGCAGCAGCAGCAGGAGAGGCCCACGAAGAGCAATCTGAAGCAAACAGGGAAGTAGGGGCACCAGACGCACTACAGCGAGTGCTGCTCCAGCCGCACTGACCTGCTGCTGCTGCTGCTGCTGCTGTTGCTGCTGCTGGGTGGGAGGGGTGGCCTCCTGGCCCCAGCAGTGCTGCGCGGGTCGTTGCAGCAGGAGCAGCAGCAGCTGCTGCTGCTGCACCTGCTGCTGCTGCACCTCTGAGAGGAGCGAACGGAAGTGCGCTAAGGTGGGGTCTTAATGAGAAGCTGCTGCTGGGTCTCCTTCGCTGCCGGCGCCCTTTGCTATCCATCTCTGCTGCTGCTGCTGCTGCTGTTGCTTGTGCTGCTGGTGCCGGTGGTGCTGCTGCTGTTTCTTGTGCTGCTGCTACGCTGTCGTCGTCAACAGCAGCAGAAGCCGCAGCAGGAACAGCAGCAGCAGCAGCAGCAGCAGCAACAGCAGCAGCTCGTGCTGCATGCAGGGCTGCTGCCCACATTAGCTGTTCGTCTCTGCTAGCAAAAGCAAATAAATATTTGGGGCTGCCTGCTGCAGCAAACACCCGCTGCAACGCCTCCGCAACAACGGAGGGGTCCTCTGTTGCTGCTGCTGCTGCAGTTGCTGCCGTTGCAGCTGCTGCTGTTCCTGCAGCAGCAGCAGCAGCAGCAGCAGCAGCAGGCGATGCATTCCTGCTCCAGCCCCTGTCAGGATCTATAAGAGCCTGTGAGAGCGGAGACGGCCGCTTCCTCTCAAGCGGACGCCCACTTGCTGCTGCTGCTGCTGCTGCTGCTGTTGCTGCAGCAGCAGCAGCAGCAGGAGCTGCAGCAGGAGCTGCAGCGGCAAGACAGGTCTGATGTTCTGTACAAACGTGAGGCCTCGAGGTATCATAGGCACTCCCAATCTGCTGCAGCTGCTGCTGCTGCACCTGCTGCTGCTGCACCTGCTGCTGCTGCAAGGGCTGCTGCTGCTGCTGCACCGGCTGCTGCTGCTGCTGCTCCTGCCTGTTCCCCCTCCATAGAGAAAGGATGTCCCCAAGCAAAGAGCGCTGGCATTGTCTACCTCTGTCTGCAGCAGCAGCAGCAGCTGTTGCTGCTGCTGCTGTTGCTGCTGCTGGTTGCGCAGCGCAGCAGCACGTCGCACCGGAGAAGTCTCCTACCCTCCCCGCAGCCAGCAGCTTCTGTTGCTGCTGCTGCTGCTGTTGCTGCTGCTGTTGCTGCTGCTCGTGCTGCAGCACGAGCTGCTGCTCTCCAGCTCTAAGCAGCGCTAAATCGCTGCAGTAGCAGCTCCCCTTCTTGCCGTTTCCGCTGCAGCTGCAGCAGCAGCAGCTGGAGCAGCAGCAGCAGCAGCGAAGTGCAGCAGCATTAGCAACAACTGCAACAAAAAATGTTTGCTGCCTGCCGAAGCAATTCAAAGGTAGATGAGGCTGCAGCACAACTGTCTCTTTAATCAAACGCAACGAACCCCTCGGGGCCCCCAGGGGGCCCCCAGGGGCCCCCTGTGAATAATAAAGAAGATAAGGCGGTGAGAGACGCAGCAAGCGAATAGCCCAGGTGTCTGCAGCAGCAGCAGCAGCAGCAGCAGCAGCAATGATAACAGTGTACATAACGTTACAATAGATATGCAGTGGTGTTGAAGTCAACAGCAGCAGCAGCAGCAAAAGCAGCAACAGCAGCAGCAACAGTACGAGCAAAGAAGAAATGACAAAGGAAACAGCAGCAGCAACAGCAGCACCAACAGCACATGCATCAGCAGCAACAGCAGCAACAACTGCAGCAGCAACTGCAGCAGCAACAGCTGTGCAGCAGCTGATATCCGCACAACTTACACGGCCACGCGTTTCCTCTCTTAAGCACTAAACCTTCAAGCACAGGGCTTTGTAAACGATGCTGCAGCAGCTGCTGCTGTTTTAGCCGCTGCTGCTCCTGTCGCTGCTGCTGCTGCTCCTGTGGCTGCTCGCCCGGATGCTGCTGCTGCTGCTGCTGCTGTTGCTGCTGAAACCTTTCATGCTTCGTTTGGAGCCGAAGCTGCTGCTGCTGCATCAGCTGCATCCAGTACTGCTGCTGCAGCTGTTGCTGCTGCTGCGTATGATCGGGTTCTCGCCCCTGCTGCTGCCGCTGCAGCCACTGTTGCTGCAGCAGCAGCTGCTGCTGCTGCTGCTGCTGCAGCGGCAGCGGGGGGCTAGGCAGACACAGCTCCTTGCCCTGATCCCGACAGCACCGCTGCATTGCATGCGTGAGGCTGCTGCAAGAGCAAGTGCTGCTGCTGCTGCGGAAGCTGCTGCTGCTGTTGTTGTTGCTGCTGCTGCTGTTGTTGTTGTTGCTGCTGCCGCTACTAAGAAAGAAGCGCCCCTTTGTTAGTCTTCAATTCTCCTGTTAGTGCTGCTGTAGAGGGGCAGCGTCGGCAGCAAGACATTTCGCTGCTGCTGGTGCAGCGGCTGCTGCTGTTGTTCCTGTTGCTGCTACTAGGGAGAAAGAGCAGCAGCAAATGCAGCAGCAGCAGCAGCAACAACAGATAAATAAATGTTTTTTTCTGTCTGCCTCGTTCAGAAGGAGAGAAGACGCGGCTCTACTCCCTATCATCCATCATCGATACACCCCGTCGCTGCTGCTGCTGCTGCTGCTGCTGCTGCGCTGCTGCTGCTGCTGCCGCTTTGTTGCTCGCTAGCAGCAGCAAGACAGATTCTTATTCAACAGCAGCAAAACAAAACAAACAGACTCTGCTAATGCTAGAGCAGACAGGGGCCCCTAGGGGCCCCGCCGAGGCAGCGCAGCTGCAGCTGCAACCAGTGCTGTTGCTGCTGCTGCGGCTGTTGCTGCTGCAGCACTAGGAAGACAGACGCTGCTAGCTAGGCTTGTAAGAAGATAAAGATAACACATAAAGAGACATAATTTATATCAACAGCAAAAAAAGAAGAACAGCTGCACTGACGCAGAAGGCTGCTGCACTTGCTGCAGCCAACGCGAGGCCCAGTGGGCAGCAGCTGCAGCAGCAGCAGCTGCTGCTGCAGCCGCAGCAGCGGAGGCAGTATCGGCAGTCGCAGCTGCTGCTGCTGCTGCATGCAAGAGGCCCCCCAGATATTTTATAGGCCTTTTCATTCTGCAAGGCAAGAAACTCTTTAAAACCAGCAATACTGCAGCAAACCACCGCAGCAGCAGGTGCAGCAGCAGCAGCAGCAGCAGCAGCAGCAGCAGCATTGGGGCAATTGCGAGGTCTTCTCATAGGTAAGCCCGAGAAGGAATTAATAGAAAAGGATTTGCTGCGTATTGGCTCAGACACTTTAACAGTACGGTAGCATCTGCTGCTGCTGCTGCTGTTCCTGCTGCTGCTGCTGCTCTTGTGCCGCTGCTGTTGCTGCTGCTGCTTTGTTTTGTACGGATAGTTTTGTCTCTCACTTGCCAAGGAGAGAGCTGCAGCAGCAGCAGCAACTGCAGCAACAGGAGAAGCAGCAGCGGCAGCAGCAGCAACCGATTCCTGTTGAGTGTGTGCGTGTGTGTGCTGTCCGTGCAGCAGCAACATCAGCAGCAACAGCAGCAACAGCAGCAGCAAGATGTTTGCGTTTAAGTCTGTAGATGGGGAGCTCAGCCCCGCTGATATCGAGCAGCAGCTGCTGCAGCGGCTGCAGCAGCGGGTTCGTGTGTTTGCTGCAATTGTTGCAGTGCTGCGGCTAGCCCCTGTCTTCTTAGGCCCAGCACTGGAGGACGCCGGCAGCAGCTAAACAGCAGCAGCAGCAGCAGCAGCAGCACCAAACGCAGCAGCAGAAGAAGCGCCAGCAGCAGTAGCAGCAGCAGGAACAGCATCAGCAGCAGAAGCAGCAGCAGCTGCTGGCTACTAGACCTTCAGATGGGGTAGGAGTTCGTTTGCTGCCAGCAGCAGCAGCAGCAGCAGCAGCAGCGACCCTATAGGCGGTAGTAGCACTTCCTGCCCCCGCACATTTCAAACAGCAAGGGCTACTGCTGCTGCTGCTGCTGCTGCTGGCGCAAGCAGTAGAGCAGCAGCAGCCTGCTGCGGGTTCTCGCATCTACTGCAACTCTGTACAACAGACAGCATGCTGCTGCTGCAGCAGAAGTTGCTGCTGCAGCGGTAGTTGCTGCAGCAGGAGTTTCTGCTGCGGCAGAAGTTGCTGCTGCAGCGGTAGTTACAGCTGTAGCACAGGTTGCTGCAGCAGGTTGCTGCTGCAGCAGTATTTGCTCCTGCAGCAGCAACCTGCTGCAGCAGCAAAAGGCTGTCAGCCTTGAGGGGGCCTCAAGTGCAGATTTATTTAATTGTTTTTAACTTCTGTCTCTGTCTCTTTTCTCTGTTTATTGTCTCCTTCTTCTGTTTGTTTGTTTGATTGTCTCTGTTTATTTATTTTGTTTTATTTATTTATTTATTTATTTATTTATTTATTTATTTATTTGTTTGTTTCTTTGTTTATTTATTTATTTATTTTGTTTGTCTCTCTTTAGGGTGTATGCAGACACAGACAAATAATAAAGATTAAGCAAATAAATAAATAAATAAATAAGGAGACAGATAAATAAATAAATATACAGAAATAAATAAAGAGACAGATAAATAGATAAAACAAATAAAGAGACAAAGATAAAGAGAGACAAGAAAATAAATAAACAGACAGAGACAGATAAATAAATAAAAACAAATAAAGAGATGAAGATAAATAAATAAGTAAATAAAGAGAGATAAGTAAATAAAGATAAATAAAGAAACAAAGAGGTAAAGACAAACAAATAATAAATTAAGAAACGAGAGATAGATAAACAGACAAATAAAGAGAAGATAAACAAAGAGAGACAGATAAACACAAACCCCCTTGTCTTTTATACACAGATAAACAAACCTACAACTCGCTGCTGCTGCAACAGCAGCAGCACCAATAACAGCAGCAGCAGAAAGAACAGCAGCAGCAGCAAGAACAGCAGCAGCAGCAAGAACAGCAGCAGCAGCAAGAACAGCAGCAGCAGCATCCAAATTGGTAGCTGCAGCAGCAGCATAGTCTCGGGTAGCCTTAAACCCTAAACCCTAGACAAACCCTAAACCCTAGAGCATGCCCTGAACCCTAATCCCCAGAGATAAAACAAAACAGACAAAGGAGACAAAAAGATAAGCGAGGGAGAGAAGAAGAGACAAACGAAGCAGCAGCAGCAGCAGCAACACTTCAAGGAGCAGCAGCAGCTGCAGCAGCTGCCCCTGCAACTGCTGCTGCTACTACTGCAGCAGCAGCAGCTGCTGCTGCAGGCTAGACGATATAGACAGCAGCAAATGCATGCAATATGAAGAGAAAGCAGCTGAGGCCCCAGAGCTGCAGCGGCAGCTCAGCAGAGACAGCAGCAATAAACACATCGTCTCTGAGCTGTCTGTACACTTCAAGGCAGCAGCTTGCTGCTTTGCTACTATAGGGGAAGCAGCCTCCTAACCCCCAACAAAAAACAGCAGCAGCAGCAGCAACAGCAGCAGCAGCAGCAGCAGCAGCAACAGCAGCAGCAGCAGCAGCAGCAGCAGCGAGAACTTGAGGAGATTGAAATGCATGTCTTTAGTTATTTCTTTTATTATATTTTTGTTTATAAAAACAAAACTTCACCGCTGCTGTCTTTATATACAGACGTGGGGCCGCTGCAGGAGGCGTGAACAGCAACAAGCAGCAGCAGCACCAGCAGCAGCAGCAGCAGCGGCAGGCGGCACCAGCAGATAACACGAGAAGGAAAGCTGCAGCAGCAGCAGCAGCATCATTATTTAAATATGTCTTCTTGTGTGTCTCCATCTATACACTGAAAAAACAAAGTAAAGAAGAGACACACTGAGTTGTTGTTGTTGCTGCTGCTGCTGCTGCAGTGTTCGTGGCTCGTCGAGCGGGTTGCTGCTGCTGCTGCTGCTGCTGCCGCTTGCTGCTGCT